CTTCCTTTCTAGGGGTCGAGAAGAAGGACAGATTCTCCATTATCTGTGTGTTAGTGTTGACTATAGACAGCTTAGAAAATGTAGCTGTTAGTGTTATGTTTATTTGTAGTTATCCCGTGTACCTTTTACCCTTAGAAATAAAGGTTTTTAAAAGCAAATAGATCTCTTCTTTCCAATAGAGCAAGATCCATTGATAGTCTGAGTATTAAACCCTTTCGACTATTTTTACAACACAGTCAACTAGTCAGCATGTTACGTGGGCCCTTTGGCAAACATTCGTTTAGCCAGCTTTCAGACGAACACGGAAAGCTACCTGGAGACCAAGCCCTATGAGGAGAGGCTGAGGGACTTGGGAATGTTCAGTCTGGAGAAGAGGAGGTTGTGGGGGGGGGGGACAGGATGTCTCTCTTGAAGAATTGGAAGGGCTGTCACTTAGGGGAGGGCAGGGAGCTGTTCCTCTTGGCAGCAGAGGAGAGGACTCGCAAGAATGGGTTTAAATTCAGGGCGGGAAACTACCGGCTGGATCTTAGGGAAAACTTGTTGACTGTCAGAGTTGTGCCACAGTGGGATCAGGTGCCTAGGGAGGTGGTGAGCTCCCCCTCACTGGCGGTCTTCAAGCAGCGGCTGGACAAACACTTGTCACGGATGCTCTAGGCTGATCCCGCATGGAGCAGGGGGGTGGACTAGATGGCCTGAATGGCCCGACTCTGTGACTCTATGATTCTTTGATTCTATACAGAGTCAGACCTCAAGCTCAGTCTTGTCTACTGTGATTGTTATTAAGTTTTGGGTCTTTCACATTTCCCACTGCCTGATTCTTTTAGCCAGTTTGGTGTAGTGGTTAAGTGTGCGGACTCTAATCTGGGAGAACCGGGTTTGATTCCCCACTCCTCCACTTGCACCTGCTGATGTGACCTTGGGTCAGCCACAAGCTCTGGCACAGCTGTCCTTGAAAAAGAGCAGTTTGTGTCAGAGCTCTCTCAGCCCCGCCTACCTCACAGGGTGTCTGTTGTGGGGAGGGGAAGGGAAAGGAGTTTGTAAGCCGCTCTGAGACTCCAAGTGAAGGGCGGGGTATAAATCCAATCTCTTCTTCTTCTTCTTCTTCTAGTTGGAGATGCTGGGGTTTGAACCTGGGACTTTCCACATGCAAATCATATGTTCTGCCACTGATCCATAGATGAACAGGCAGATAGATCTGAACTCACAGTGGGGTTAGAATGGCTCAGTTTTAGACTACGTTTGTGAAACACCGCAGCTCTTTGTGTCCTAGGGTTGCCAGGCCCCGCCGGGCAACCGGTGGGGGATGGGGGGGAGTTACCGGGAGCAACAGGGAGGCCCATCCGACATACAGCAATGTGTCCATGTCGCTGCCTACATGACCCGGAAGTGACATCATCGTGTCCGGGACATCGGGGCAATGCTCCAGTATCTGAGCAAAAAGTCTATGGTAGATTTGACTTCTACCATAGAAATTTTGCCCAAATGCCAGAGTGTTGCCCTGACATCTCAGACATGATGATATCTCTTCTGGGCCACATAGGCGGTGACGGAGACAACGTCATTGCATATCAGATGGATCTCCCTCTTTTTCAGAGTAAGTTTCCCCCCACCAGCCAGCTGATCAGTGGTGGGGAGGTGAGGCCTGGCAGCAGAGGACCCCCTCCTTCACCAGGGGGGTTCTGGCAACCCTATTGTCTCCTCCCTGTTAATTCTTCCGGCTTTGAACTCCTATCCTGTTCTTACCAAGCCAGTGGGAGATATGGCAGGAATGAAACAGTGAGGATAAGCTGGAAGACTGAGCCCTACAAGGAAAGGCTAAGGGCCTTGGGAATGTTTAGTTTGGAGAAGAGGAGATTGAGGGGGGGCATGATTGCTCTCTTTAAATATTTGAAAGGCTGCCATTTTGAGGAGGGCAAGGAGCTGTTCCAGTTATCCTCTTGCCGTCAGCATATATGTTTGGGGGGGGTTGTTTGTTTGCTTTATTTTTCTGTTTTTGGTTGAAGGACAGAAGATGGAGAGCCAGTTTGGTGTAGTGGTTAAGTGCACAGGCTCTAATCTGGGTGAACCGGGTTTGATTCCCCACTCCTCCACTTGCACCTGCTGGTTGACCTTGGGCAAGTCATAGTTCTGACAAGAACTGTTCTTG